GGACATTATATCTAAATGCGCTTCTCTGTGGGCCCATCTAGTCTCTAACAATGGGGTTAGACGAATTGAACAAGGACTAGACTAATTCTGTTTTTTATACTTTATCTATTATATTTATCTTTTTTTTTAAAAAAAAGCCTTTATAGTAATTATACATGTTAAAGGTTATATAAAATAGTAGTTTTAATTAATACACATAATTGATAAGGATATTTTAGAAAAGACAACACTTATTTATTACAAATAACTAATTTAACAAACTTCTTTAATCTACTCAAATTAGTTATCTAACTCCGATACTAAGAACCAGAGTTGGTATTTTATAAAACCCATATTTTCCCTAATTTAAATTTCTCTAACCATTTGCATTATTCTTGCGGGGTGGAAAAAAAAATTTAAAGATGATGCACACAGATGATGACGAGAACCACTCGTACGCACATGAAACAACAATGTCAATCCTTGAACAGTTAAAACCCTATTCATGGGAATCCAAAGCAGTGATGGTGCTGGCAGCATTCTCTGTGGAATATGGCACTTTCTTCCATCTTTCGCAGGTTTCTGCAGAAGACAGCCTTGGGAGATCATTAGCAGTGTTGTGCCATGTTCATGTCTTCCACAAAAACCTAAGAGCCACTTCTGATTACAACCACATCGTCATGAATGCCTATGAAACTGTCAAGAGAATCATTGAGTTGAAAATTTGTTCAGTGAAGGTTATGAAGAAGAGTTTGTGCCTTCTTTGACAGAAGCCATGCATGAGTTCCCTGCGTTTGTTTATTGGGTTGTCCTCACCATTGTTGCTTGTGCTCTTCATTTTAAGTTCTTCTTGGGTTCTCATTGGTAAGCTCTGATATAAATCATCCTCTTAAACTTCATTTATCTTGACTTTATTGGAATTTATCAAGTTAAAAGGGTTAATGTAATTTTTTGTCTTGAAATTTGGGTCTATTTTTGTTTTAGTCTTTCAAAGTTTAAACCCATGATGTTAGTCTCTAGAATTTGCTCTGTAAAATGTTAGTTCTAGGAAGTATAATGGTATTGAAATTTGTTAGAGAGTCGTAAACAACATTAAAATGGTATGGTGATATAGACTCACACCTTAGGATCTTGTGTGGATAAAAGGAAAAAAAAAACATATCCTTAAAATATATTACCTTTTATCTTAATTATAAGACCTCGTTTGTAGATTATAAACGAGATCTTATAATTAGGATCAAAGTTAGTAGTTGTTTATCCCTTTTGTTTCTTGTTATTCATTTGAGGAGTTGTTCATTGTGTAGCATTTTGAGAATTCATTCCACTTTATATAATCAGTCTTTGCAATGAATTCTGAAGACCTTTTTTTTTTTATCTATTATCCATACAAGATCCAATTAGGTGTCTTTTAATGAGTCCATATTATCATTTTAACGACGTTTATGACACCTCAGCAGATTTTAGTACCATTAGGCTCCATGGACTAATGTTTTAAGACAGAATAAATTTCAGAAACTAAAACCACATGTTTAAATTTAAGAGACTAAAAGCAAAATGGACCCAAATTTCAGAGGCAAAAAATTATATTAAACCAAGTTAAAATCTTTAACATATATTCAATTAAACATGTTTCTTTTAACAGCATCAATTTTTTTTCTTTTCTTTTTCCCTTGGCTTTAATTTCAGGAAGGCCATATATAATTTATCGTCTATCAGCAGCAAGATTTTCGCGGTTCATAGCAAAATCAAGGCGCTTACAGGGAGGATAAGGAAAGAGATAGGTTATATTCTAATCACAACTGAAGTTTATATATTGCATTGTGACTATGATTTTGTAAGTAAAATAAAGGCGCTTCTATTTTCACTTTCATTTCTTTTTCTTTGTTTTGTTTGAAATTGCAGCACACGCATATGGGAGCCCCGAAAGTTCAAAAGGAATGTTAGACATTTTAATTGAAGATTTAGATCTCTCAGATTAATCTTAACTATGAGGCGATGGTGAAAAAAAAAAGGAAGGGTTTTGATGAAAAAGGAAGAAGAAAATGGCATAGATTAATGGAATCTTGTATAGTTTTTTGTTTGTTACATCAAGTGTTAACCTCCATATTTAGCACTCAAAAATATTTTTTCAATAACATTTTAACATCTTAGAGTAATTTTTAGTACAATTTTATTTTTAAAGTATTTTCTCAGTGACACTAAACACCTAAAGTTAACTTTTAAACGTAGTTTCTTAGAATTATCCCTTCTCTATTTATCTTCTCATCCAAACTAAGGTTTAAAGTTTTCTTAATAGCATTCAATGTCCTAAACTATTTTCTTGGTAGAATATTACTAAGATTATTTTGCATGATCCATAAGTTGTGTTAATTGTTCGATGTAGATAATTAAAATGAGTGGTATTTAAAAAAAAAACCCAACATACATTTTTTACATATAACTAACTTTTTTAAGTTCTTACAATTTATGTGATTAAGTTAATTAGGTTCTGTATCTAGAGCGGAATATTAATGAAGTCGCATATTAACAATTTGCGCATTGATTTCCACATCAGAATATCATATTTCATGGCCAGGTTTTATATAAATTTTAGGGCTAAGGTTGGTTGAAATATTTTTTCATGTATAGTCTAGAAATATTTTTTCATGTATGTCTAGTACCTTAAATATTTTATGATTTATCTAGTACTTTAAAGTTTTTTTTTTTAAATGTATCTGGCACCTTAAAATATTTTGTGATTCATCTAAAACTCTTAAATTACTTTTTCATGGGTATCCATCACCCTCAAATACTTTTTTAATATCATCTTGCTTTTAGAGTATTAAGGTGCTATAAGCATACTTATAAAAAGAATATTTCAAAACCAAACGAAGTATAAGATACTCCATGGTGATAGACACAACACCCTAAAGTTTATGATAAACAATCATCTTCAATTATTATGTAATTTTTCCCAGTGATTGAAGTCTTATTAAATTGATAATATACTATCTCCAGTCCTTAATATAAGAATTCATTTGATTTTTGTAAAACCCTTAACCTCATAACATTATAATCTCGTCATAAAACCACTACTATGGTAGAAAAGGAAAGCTGTTAAAATGAACTACCATAGTAGAAAGAAATTTACATAATTTTAGAAATTGACTTTCAAACTCGGGTCAAACCCAAACTCCGTTGCATGCAACTAAAATCATTCATTAACATCTACTGGGCCTCCGAGCCTCCGGTCCGGGTAACAAAATACATCTACATCAGCCCATATAAATAGTTTCCAACAACGTAAATCAAAGTTCTACAAACAATAGAAAGGGCCTCCGGCCAACTAAAAGTGAGAAGATACACTTCCTCCGGTTTACCATAAAGCCGGGCAATCAAAATATTTCAAAGGACCCTACTGTGGCAATATACAACTGGTCATACATAAACAAGGCTAGAGGCCTAAAGCTAACCAAGCTCAAGCCTCTGCGTCTCTTCCCGAAGGTGCACGCCTAGAACCTTCACTTGAAAACATTGTAAACCACGGGGTGAGACAAACGTCCCAGTAACCAATCTTTCCAATTCAAGGTACTACTAAATAAGTGCTCGTGAGGTGTCAAGTGGGGCAGTTCACAAGTAATATATAATGATAGCCACTACAAGTCATGCAAGTGCAATGATGCAATTCCCGTCAACCATATCCCTCACTTTGGGGGATTTTTAAGAGCCGTACCCGGCCTATCCCTTACTATGGGGGACGTAAGGAGCCATAAAAGGCCTATCCCTCACTCTGGGGGACGTAGGGAGCCAAAAGGCCTATCCCTCATTATGAGGGACGTATTGAGCCAACCATCATGCATTAATGGAGGCCTTACCACGTGGTAGCAACTATCAAAAACTCTCACCAATTCCCAATTCATGAATCATGCTCAAACCATAATCAAATAGTAATTGAACATTTCATAATTTACTTCTTTCAGTGGCATATCTTTCACAATTCCAAGATTCATTCATCATCAATCGAAACCCCACAAGACGGTTTTCCTTTTTATATATAACATACACTTTGAACATAATTGTTACTCGGAGCACAAAACATAAATCTACTCACAATACCACAGAAGCATGTACTAAGGATTGGAAAGTGGTTACCTCTCGTCTGAGCAAGGAATAACAAACCAACAATGTGGCCCCGTGCACCAACAAGACTCACAACCGGTCTACACAAGCACACAAACACAACCATCATGTATTAGCTTTCAAACTAATAATGTGGCCAAAACAACATTTGGGGACACAAAATTGCTAGCTCCAACCAAAACTCTACCCAACTCAAAGGGTATAACCATCAAAACAACACTCTAAAGTCATAAAAGTCCATTAAAACATCAAATCCCCTTCCAAGCATCAATTAGGGTTCAAACCTCAAGGACCCACTATAGGAATTCAACACCCAAACATCCTATTTGGACAATTGAAGTTCTAACAACAATCTAAACCGATTAAACATCCAATTTAATCCTCCTTGACATAACCCAATTCACAGAACTCAAAATCAACCTCTACATTATCATCTTCAATCACAAACCTCCCATTTCCATAAACCCTAGCTTCAAAAACTCCAAGTTCTTTAAATCCAAGAAAACTACACCGATTAAATACTTAGACTAACCCAAAGCATTCAATTAAACTCAAAACAATCAATCAAAAACCTCAATTCCATAACAACCTAGAAAACTCTAGGGTTTCACCATAAATCCTTATAAATTCCAAGAAAGAAGATAGATTAGAGGTTAAAATCACTTACTTGAGGTAATGGATCCTTAGAAATGCCCCCTCCAAGCCAGAAATTCGAAACCTTAGCAGAGCCTCTCTCTCTACCTCAGATGTTTCTAATTTTCACACACTGAACCCCTCCCGCGACTATATAGATTCGGACTCCTTTGCCACGGCGAACCCATATCTTCGCCGCGGCGAACTAATCCCGAGAGGTATTACTTGCCTGAAAACCCTACTTCGCCGCGATGAAATCTTCCCGAAAGGAAGCTCTCGCTCGCCTAGAAAAACTTCACCGCGGCATGCCCTAACCTTCGCCGCGGCGAAACATTCCCGAAAGGATACTCTCCCCTGGAACTCCCGGTGCGCCGCGGCGAACATACTCTGAGAGGGGTCTGTTCACCTATTCCTCCAACATACCTCAAATCCAACCCAAACACCAAGATCAAGATTAAATCGCTAATCTATCCTCAAAATCAACCAAAAGAGGCTATTAAAACCCGATAAAACTCAAGACGTTACAATTTTTATTTTGGTCATAAATACAAAATTTCAATTCATTTTATCTCTCACATTTATCTTTTTTTAAAAAAATTAGTCCTTATAATAATAGTAGTTCTAGCCAATACACTTGATTAGCAATGATATTTTAAAAAAGATAACACATATTTATTATAAATAAGTAACTTAACTAATTTTTTAAATCTATTTAAATTAGTCAACTAGCTCTTATATTAAGAATTGGAAGTAGTATTTACGTATAGAAGTATTTAAAGCCTACTTATATTTGGAACTAACAAACCAATATTGAAGGGGGAATCCTAAGCGTTTGGTTGGGGTTTTTTAAGGGGGAGGGGAGAGGAAAGGAAGAGGTGAGGTGAATGTGCTTGGTTGGAAAGAATGAAGGCGAAGGGAGGTAAAAAATTTTGTCTTCTTGTACTCCCTTTCCCTTCTCCCTCGTGATATCAAAGGCCATTGATAGAACATGTCTCTTATAACCCTAACGATGAAAACACCACAAGGTTAATCAATCCTTTGATACTGCTGAGTATTCTTACGAGAATACGAGGATGCAAGCAAAGCTCACACAAAGAGAAATAAACTCAATTCTCATTCATCTAAATCTCAAAATTCAATTATAAAAAACGTAGTCTATACATAGACAACTATAGAAGACTGTAGAATCAGCATCTTAAGATATAAATGCTAGAAATGATGCCTCATTAATGATTATTTGACTATAAGAGGCATCATTTAGTACATAGAAATAAAAAGAAATAACTTAAATTTCAAAAACAAGTCTGTTATTTGAAAATAGGAAATTAGATCAAAATATAATCTTCTAGAATAATCCTTACCAAAAAAAAACAAATTTAAATCATAATTAATTCATAATGATGCCGTCTTGATCCTTCTTGAATGTTCTTGGACATCACTTATGATCCTTGTCCAAAACACATACTTATCACATGGTATTTTAAATGAATTCTCCAATCTGAACTCTACATGGGCCTTGTACATCATCTTTCTGGGGCTTTTAGCAATATGATTATCATTTTGGGACTCTTTTTAGGCTCACTAAAATGTGTTTCCTCCAAATAAATGGACTCTAACTCTTTTAGCTCTCTTATTAGACAAATTAAGACCTCCCTCATAGCTTTGGTTCTTAGTCTTGTTATTAGGCCTCCAATGCCTTGTAATGGATTTTTTGGAATGTTGGACTTTTTTTCATGTGTTTGGACTCCTTACCTTGTTCTTGATCAGACCATACTCTTCTATCACCTCATTCGTCCAAAAGTGGGGTTTTCTAAGGAGTGAGAAACAACTTGACACATTCCAACTAAACTGCCCATGACATGCGTGTTTTTAGTATTACAAGTCTAATCATTGCAACTTCTGACCTCCGGCCGTTCTTCATCGTTCGCCTCTGCTTACCTCTTGCCTTTACCCTGCATCATTGTCATCACTTGCTCCTCCTGGTGGATATCAGAATCCCACTTATGTGCAACCACATTGAAGCCATCACCATTGAAGGTGCTGCTAAAGACGAGAATGGAGGCGTGGAAGAAGAGGCGAAGGGTGGTGGCAGCCATGATTGGCGTTCTTTGTTGCTTATCTATTATGATTGTTTCCTCCAATTTTGAGTATTTTGAGTATTCTGGTAGTTGTTAATGTTCAACTTTAACCAATAGAAAAATGCAAGGTAGAAACAAATTCATGGAAGCAGAAACATTCTTAACCCTCAAATCTGCGAATGAATCAAAATGGTGAGGTAGTTTTTGAACTAGTTGATGAAATGGGAATGGAAAATTTGATGGCGGAATAATCATGGTGAACAATAATAATTAATATATACACACATATTATTACAAATATATAATTATAATTATTCGATACATAT